CTCTAGCTTCTTCATGTAGGTATTTAGTGCTGTGAACTTTCCTCTTATCACTGCTTTCATTGTGTTCCATAAGTTTTAGTGTGTTGTGCTGTAATTTTCATTGAGTTTTAGGAAGTCTTTAATTTCTTTATTTCTTCCTTGTCTCAGTGGTGATTTAGTTGTACATTGTTCATTTCCATGAGTTTATAATCTTTCTGCAGTTAGTATTGTTGTTGAATTCTAGTTTGTTTTTTTTTAATTTTTTGTTGTTGTTATTGGATTCTAACTTTAAGGCATGGTGATCAACAAGATATAGGAGGTTAATTCAAATTTTTTGTATCTGTTGAGGTTTGCTTTGTTACTTTAATTTTTTATAGCTTATTCTTATCAGCTATCTTTATAGACAGGCAAGAAAATGGACATTAGTATTATTTTTAATATTCTGATTTCTTATATAAAAGTCTTATACAGGTAGGTTTCATCTATATATTTTTTCATATTTTACATCGTGAAAAGTTTTAAGCTGGTTAGTACTAGAATTAAAACAGATGATTTATTTACTTAGACTGAGATTGTATCTTTAAGGGCACTTTCAGCTTTTGCTTTGCAGAGTATAGATTTATAAAGATATTGTGCTCCTGTGACCCTTAGCACATGTAACAGATAATTTTTAAAAATTGAATTATTTCACTTACAAGTTTCAGTCATAAATAGTATTTGGGAAAAATATTAAGGTGTAATAGGTGTGAAAATATTAGGGTGTATTGATAATTAATGGGAGGGTTAGGGTAATTTTATGTTTTCATTGATAGGTTTGGGTTATAAAATAAACCTCTAATCACTGTCATTTCATGATAATGTGACTTAATCATATGTGTGCTCAGTTATGTATAGGCAGAAGATAATAAATGGGATTTTCTTTAAAAGTTCACTTAGAGGACAGTTTGCCTTTCTGCACAGTATATATCCAAAACCTGTCCGGATTCATCAGTATATTGCTGATAGTCCCAATATGTGCTGTGATTTGTATTTGGCCATAAAAGGGGGAGTTCCTAAAGATTGCTAGGGAACTATAGGGTAGAGTAACAAATTGCTTAAGACTTTCTGGAAACCAAACATCCTGAGATTATATTGAATACAATGGTTTTACTGGAGACTATCAGGTTGTATTGCAAGGCAATTTAGGTTTACAGACAGGGGGACATAAACCCTCCCTATCCATTTATTAGTATAGAATTGAATTTTTTAAAAGTTATCCATTACATAGCCAGCTGTTCTGTTTTAACCTTTAATATCTTTTATCTATTTATGTGCTTCCTAAATTTGCATAAGCTGTTGTTTTGCTGCACTGCTAGGAATCTTAGTGTACAACTCCTGTGCTCCAAGGCATGGAAACCTGCTCCAGGGTATGTGTGTATAGTATGTTCTTACTGTGCACATGTAACTTTATAGAGTCAAAAGTGAATGACTTGCGGAGGGTTCAGAATCCATTATCATTTTTGTTCTTGAAAGCTAATGAAGTTGCTTCTGTGACTTCCACATCTATGCTACGCTACAGTGTTGCTAGTTACTTTTCCCACTCCAGAGGATCACCTCTCTACCAAGTGTGTGTACATATGAGCAGAGGCATACACAGATGGATGTATTTCACTGGTAAAGCATTGAACTGAAAAGCACTCTGATGAGGCCACCGTTTGGTGCCTTGCTACCATTTAACTGTCCGTTCTCCTGAATCCTCTGTAATTTGTGATCTCTAGTTCATTCCTTACTACCAAGAGATATGTTGTTAATGTAGCTAGGAAAAAAGGGGCATCTTTCTAGCTTACTGTTTAAAAAAATCAGCAGAAAACTCAAAAATGATTATGCCAGTATGCATACTGTCTACAGAGACAGTGTTCCTGCTGGAGAGAGGGCTCAGCCGTTAAAGGCTAGGCTCACAACCAAAACTATAAGAGATGGTGTTTGCTAAATCAGATGTGGGAAACACTAAAGTTGGTGAATCCTTCACATTATAGCTTTTTTGTGTACTTGGTCATCTTTCCAACGTTATTAGAATACAATTAAAAAGAACAAATCAAAGAAATTAGAATGTACAAGAAAGAACTACCCTTTTGTGCTTCTGCCCAATGTACACTGTTATATTATTATTCTTGCCTTCTCTGGTAAACAGTAAGTATGATTCTGTCAGTCACTGGTCAATGGTTTAAGGTTCTAGGCTCATGTGCATCAATATCAAGGTTAATTTTAGTTTTAGTAATTGGTAAAATCAGATATCCGAAAACTGGTGGGGGGAGGCAAAAATAAGTCCATTGCATATAGTTTAATGAGTTTTCCAGAATTCTTAGTCACTGTTCTCTTTCTGTGAAGAGATGCCAAGACCAAGGCAATTCTTAAAAAAGAAAACATTTAACTGTGGACTGGCTTACAGTTGAGAGGGTTAGTTCTTTGTCATGGTGGGGAGTATGACTGCAACTCAGGTAAACACTGGAGCATATCTGAGAGCTATGTCATGATCTTTAGGCAGCAGGCACTGAAAGACTGGACCTGGCATAGATGTTTGAAACTTCAAAACCCACCCCCAGTGATATACTTCCTTCAACAAGGCCATATCCACTCCAACAAGGCCATACCTCCTAATCCTTCTCAAACAGTGACATTTCCTGGTGGCTGAGCTTTCAAATATATGAGCCTATAGGGGCCATTCGTATTCAAACCACCACATAGGGAGGCATAAAAGAAGTGCTTGCTTTTGAACTAGGAATGTGCAGATAGCCCAGAGGGTTGCTCATCCAAGTCTAGCCTCATGAATGAAATGAATTTGTTATGGATTGCTTATGGGACATTACATGCTAACATGGGCTACCAAATTTTTATTTTATATGGCTCTAGGTCTACAGCGGAATTTATGCAAACCTGCATTCTAGCACTACCTACTATATCTAGTAGAGACTACACACTCAGAAAACATAAGGCACAGATTATAAACAGACTCAGGCAGCTATGTCCTTGTTATTATTGAGGCTTTTACTGACCTCAGTAAATACTGTCCAAGTATGGGCAACATCACTTAGTTTGTTGAAATCTGGCATGCATATCAGCTGAGAGGTGGCATACTGCAGAAAGGCTAGGAGATCAATAGTCTCACCAAACTTAATGATACTGCAGGTAAAGTTACTCATTTTTGATGCCACTAAAAATGAGGAATCGGAAAACTTTTTATATATCAAGTACCCAAATAGTCAAGTTCAGACTGTTCTTTTTTTTTTTTATTTTATCACCCCCATCCCACTGCACTTTGTTGCTTCATGAATGGATTTTGTAGTTTTCCTAAAGTGTAAATGAGACTACATCTACATCTGTGTGTTTGAAATATATTTATCGGCTTTATTTAGCCTTTAGGGTCCTCTGCTCTGTGGCTTTATTATTTCCTTCCTCCTCCATCTGAGCCTCTCCTTCCTTCCCTCCCTTCCTCCCTACCTCTCTCCCTCTATCATCCCTCTCTCTACCCTCCCTCCCTGTTTTCACAACTTGCTCCTCATTCAAGCGTTGGCTTTCAAATGATCTTCCAGCTGGAATTAATGTTTTCTTTTTGGGAGCTCCTGAGGTTTCTGTTTCTTAGTACAATCCTTAGTATTGTACATATATATTTCCTAGTTTTCAAACTGTGTGTTTATATCTTATTCTCCTATTTCCTTTGTATATTTTCTTGTACATAGAGTGTTTTCTGAGCAGTATTTATATATAAGTTTATAAAGAATACTTTGTTCAGGTATGGTGGTATATGTCTTTAATTCCAGCACTCTGGAGGTAGAGGCAGAGGCAGACTGATTTTTATGGGTTCCAACCTAGCCTGGTCTATGTATTGAGTTCCAGAATGGCCAAGGCTTCATGGTGAGATCTGCTCCCTCCTATTCCCCTGCAAAAAAACCCAACTTTGTTCAAGAGGTATTTCTTAGTTGAGAAAAGAAGCAGGTCTGAAAATACTTTATTCCACAGGGAAAAGTCTTAAGGGTTTGCAAACTTTGTACTCGCTGGTTTTGTGTGTCTACTTGACACAAACTAGAGTCATCAGAGAGGAAGGCACTTCAGTTGAGGAAGTGCCTCCATGAAGTCCAGCTGTAAAACATTTTCTCAATTAGTGATCAATTGGGGAGGGCCCAGCCCATGGTGGGTAGTACATTTCCAGGCTGGTGGTCTTGACTTCTATAAGAAAGCAGTCTGCCAGGAGAAGCAAGCCAGCAAGCAGCCTTCCTTCATGGCCTCTGTGTCAGGTCTTGCCTCCAGGAGCCTGCCCTGTTTGTGTTCCTATCCTGACTTCTTCTAAGTTGAACAGTGCTGTGGCACTATAAGCCCTTTCCCTCCCAACTTGCTTTTTAATCATGATGTTCATTGCAGCAATAGAAACCCTAACTAGGACAAAATTATTCTTTAAATTTTGTTAAATTTTTTAAAATTTAAAATTGTTGCTGCTTTGTGCAGTGACAGTACCAGTTGACAGGCTCTTATGGGTGGAGGAACTCTCACAAGGATCCACCCTTAGGTGAAGCGCTGCAATTAATGGCTCCTGAGAGAAGGGGAATCAGTCCACTTGGAGATAATCCCCCCATAGGCTATCTATTAAACGATCAGCCCTAAATAATATGTATATTACTCATACCAAATAAACTCAACAGGTTGTATTTATAAATTTGTGTATTTGTGTATAATGATAAATAAAGAATAAGAGGCCGTGAATTTGAGAAGTATTGGGCATGGGGTGGGGGAGAAGGGAGGGGGGAAATGATACAACTCCAGTACTCGTGCAGAATTCCCGATAAATAAATAAGGTATTTTATTTTGAGCAGGAGTCCTGTGTTACCTTACTTGAGATGAGTATCATAATGGTCATGCTGTACTTACTGAGCACATTTTAACCTTATGTGGTGAACATAACACGTTTACTTAAAGAGGCTTCATTTGTCCTTCAAAGAAAAATTACAGTTAACGATAAGAAGGAAAAAAAAAAACATTTTGTTTTGTAGGTATCTTGGTCAGATATTGGAGGACTGGAAAACATCAAACTGAAATTGAAACAGGCTGTGGAATGGCCCTTGAAACATCCTAAGTCTTTCATCAGAATGGGTATTCAGCCACCTAAAGGAGTTCTCTTGTATGGCCCTCCCGGATGCTCCAAAACAATGATAGCAAAGGCTTTGGCCAATGAAAGTGGCTTGAACTTTCTAGCTATAAAGGTAGGATATTGGAGTTTCAATGGTAACTCTCTCTTCTGACTTCTTCTGTTATATCCTGTATGATATCTCTCTCTAAGGAGCAGTTGATGTTTATTTCTTTATCTGAGGTAGATGACAGTAAAATATAGGTAGAGAAGTTTAAAAAAAATTAAGTTGGTGCAAATACCCAGTTAAATTAGAGCCAGCGTGGTACATTCAAAATTCTGAAGAGGCATGTCTTTCCCTGTCTCCTTCCCCCAAATGAATGGTTGGAAAGTATATTTTTTTCAGAGGAACTGTTTAAATTCCCTTTCCTTTCCTGCTAATCCCTCTTCTGTTTTGGAGCCTGCCTGCTTTAGACACTTGCCTACAGTGTGTCTGACTCATACTTCATAGTTTCCTGCTCTTTGAGATGTTTCTACAGAATGGCCTTCTTTGTGTGTGGATCCTGTACTTCTGATTTTCAAGATCCTTTCCTCACAGTGCCTAGGTGGAATTGTATTACTTGGGTGTTTTACTTTTAGTGTGCATAACCCTCATATTTGCCATAATCAGCACTTGGTCAACTTGCCTACTCCAGACAGTTTAGAACTTAAAACACTTGATTTGAATTGTAATAGCCCAGAATTACACCACCAGGCAGGTACCTGTTGGACACGTTTAAGCAGCCCCTAGGAAGACTGGAGAAATCCAAGAAATGATTCCAGAGCAGAATTGCAAGAGCAGGAACTGACAAGCCCAAACTTGAATTTGTGATTGTAAAGTAAGTAATAAAATATAGAGGGGTAAGTCAGGTTTAGTTCTCCCAGATTAATAAAACAGCTGGGCAAATATTTTTACATATTCCTTGTTATTTTGTTACTGTTCTGCAAATTTGAGCAGTAGAAATCTTGGCCATGGGTACTGGAAATAACATATGCCCAAATAAGGTAATAATTGTGTAGTTTTTCCTGTTCACACTTATCTGTGTAACACATGTTGTCTAGTGGGTAAAATGTGTCAGGACCAAGTTGCTGAGGTTATTTGGTAAGTAAAATTGTTAAACAAAACCTCCTGTGATCTTAACAGTATCCATTCTAGGGATTGGTGTATTGTTTTCAAAATATCATAAAACCCAGTAAATGTGAGACAGACTGTACTGTTTTCATCCCAAGTGTTTAGTTAGGTACAAATGGGTGTCTTATTTATAGCATAGGTTTTTGTTTTGTTTTGTTTTGTTTTGTTTTTCTTTTATCAAATTAGGCCAGGTAGTTATTTATTCAGAAAGATTTAGAAGTCATTCTTGCAACTTGATCTGTTCACTGCCTTTTAGTTTGCAGTGCTGGTACTTTATGCAGTAAAAGGGACATGACTTTTCTCCTTTCTGGATATGAAGAAAATAAAGGCAACACAATTACAGAAATAACAATCTGTGTAGAGCACAGCCCCACACCCTATCACTTTTAGCTGTTGCTAGGATTTTGAGCCTGTAACTTAGCTACTGTCCCCTTTTGTTTGCTTCAGTAAAACCTGCCTCAGTGAGGTTGAACTTCACCCTCAAAGTAGCCTTCCTTGGTGATAAAACTGCTCTGATATTTTGAATGGTAGAGCAGTGCAGTATAACAGTTTAACATTCTGTGTTGCATTGTACTGGCCACTCATCTGGCTGAAGTTCATGAGCATGTAGTTCAGTACAAAGTCACACATTCTTGGGCCTAACCATCTTCTATTACTGCCTTTACTTGTTAGTAATGCCTGATTTGAATTATTCCAGCCCAGTTTTTCTCATGATGTTAAATAATTAGTTTAACTTTTCAGATATGTGTTACTCACCTTCTCCTCTGCCCTTCTCCCTACCCCTTCTTCTCTCCTTTTCCTTTTGTTTCTTCCCTGGGCTTCTGTTGGTCTACTTCTAAATGGTAGGGGTATGAAGGATCCTTAGATGGTTCAACTATTTGGCATGCTTTCCCATTTCCTGTATGTCATAAATATGTTTGTACAGTGAATTTAAGTCATGTGTAAGTTTCTGCTAGCAATGCTATGTTTACTTAGCAGAGGATACATCACAAAATCACCATATTTTTCTTTCCATTAATGATACTGAAGTTGTCTTCCTTAGAACCCTTACCTATGAAAGAATGAAGACCTTTCTCCATATTATTCTCTAACTGCTCTTCCTTAAACTAGATGATTAAAAAGCTGTGTGTTTTATGTCTGGATTTACATTGTGTTTTTTTTCTTTAAAAGTCTTCATTATATTAGTATTTTGTGTCATACCCTTCTGTTTTATGAATAGTTGTTACCAGAATAACAGTAATAATACTGACTTGGCATGTACATCCAATAAAAACCGTGACTCCAACAGTTTCCTTTCCAAACTTTGTCAGTACACAAGTTGCCTAATTAGTTGCCCTAAACTGAATAAAATCTGCATAAAAATCCCTTAACCATATCCTGCCTCCGACAAAAACCTGTTGTGCTCATTAAAGCTTGTTTTATTGTTTGGGGCTTGAAGCTCGTTCAATTCCTCTCCTAATGCCTTTCTGTGGTCCTGTTTAGAAAAGTCTAAAGTAGCACATGTTAATGAAAAGTACTCTTTGCCATATCCTGAAAGGACAGTCCTTATTCTTCATCATTTTGTGGAACTATGGAAATAATATTGCCAGATGAAACTGCAAAATGTTTTACTAATATGTGGGGAGATTAGGAATCATGCTATCCTTAAGTTTTCCGTCAGAACATTCTGAACACTCACTTCTTGCACATGTGCAAAGCAGCACTTCTTTGGTCTTCTAGCAGCTTCTTTGCTGACTCTACTTCTAATCTTTCTTTTCTGGTCCTCCATGCAGACCTCGACATCCTGATCTCCACTCAATGAGGACTTTACAAGTTTATTTACCCATTTTATATCATTACATTTTGAGATTGTTCGAGTTTTATTTTTGCTGTCATAATTAGTGTGTTAGTAATACTCTGTGTTTCCTTGCATGTATGTAAAGGTCTACTTAGAGCTCTGACCTAGAAGCTCTGACCATTGGATGTGAATGTCCTCAATAGTACTAGATAATTTAAAATTGCCTTTTTTTTTTATGTTACTGTTTTGTTTTGTTTTTTTCTCAAGTGTCTTATGAATCTTAATATATTGAAGTCTAGGTTTGCTCTCCAGCAATCAAATCCAATTTGCAACTTGTTTTGGTCCAACTTCTAACAATAAATTTCACATTTTTAAGAATTTTTTTTCAAAAATGAAGAGTAAGAATAATATGTAAGACTATTAATCTACAGGGCCAAAAATATATAAATAATTGTAACATTGTGTTATTATTAATGGGATTAATTTTTGCTTGCACAGGCAGGTTAGGAATTTTCTTGATGTAGCTGATTAGTACAATTTGATTTCTCTTACATAATACCTGGAGGGAAAGTATTAGACAGATAACCAAAAATAGGCAGTTCAGACAGGGCCAGCAGATTGTGACTATAGACACTATGGATGGAACTTTACCACAAGGGCGGTTATAAGAATGTGATCTGAGGTGGTTAACAGTGTGGATGGTCCTGAGACTCCTCTGGCAAGGGTAGTAGCTAAGAAGTACCTGCATGGCCTTGTCTTGTTGAGGGCAGTGTTGACATTGAAACATTCAAGGACTTTTTATAATAGATTGCATAAATCTTGTTCTATTTTCTTAGGTTTTAGGGTTTATCATGGACCTCTACGAAGAATATTTCTGAGGTCTTTACTTCTTGCCAGATAGGGCTATTCTAATAGATTTAGGTATAAACTAATAGACAGACGTAATTGGGTTTTTGGAATCTTCACATGTGACTTCTTTGTCGGTCTTCTAAATTAGCTTGTTCTAGCTTTGGTGCCTGCATTATGCCTGGTATATCGTAAAACTATCCATAGGTGGATAATCAGGTAGTAAGCAAATTGTTATAAAACCTGTTTAGTCACCACCTTTCCTTTGTATTGATTTGTAGCTTTAGAACATGCAGTGACTTTAATCTTTGAGGCTAAATAACATCCAGAGGAAATAAGCATGCTATAGAAACTAATTTAAATAAAATATTTTTTGGCTTACTTTCTCTTTTGTGTTTTTTTCCCCTCCTTATTAAAATATGGGTGACTATATGAAGATACCAAATCACTGATTTCTTTCGTTACAGGGACCTGAATTAATGAATAAATATGTTGGTGAATCTGAAAGAGCAGTTAGAGAGGTAAGAAGAGAATCACATTTCCATCCTTCTGTGTAGTTTCTACTTAATTTTGGGTTATGGAAAGTGACACAATTTTTCTTAAAGCAAATACTATGTTATGATTTAAAATGCAACTTTGAGTACTCTTTAATATTTTGTGTTTGTTCTTACCTATCATACTATCCTAACTTTTATTTTTACCCAAGATTAATTTTAATAACTACCATCCCTCCCCATTTTTGCAAAAGGAAGTGTCTGTCTATATGAAGGGCGTCAGTCTTCTATGGTTTTTTAAACTTTTACATTCGATACCTTTTTTCTTCTTATTATTTTTTATTTTTATTATTTATATACACTGCCATTTTCTCCTAACCAACTTCTCCCAGCCCCCCTCCCTTCTCTCTTAGATCCACTTTTCGCTCCATTTTTCCTTCCCCCAAAAGAACAGATCTTCAAGGAATATCACCTGAGCAAGGCATAACAAATTACAATAAGACTAGGCACAAACCCTCAGATCATAAAATATTTCCATAAAATTTTATTTGAAAATTTATTTTATAGTAAGAAACGCAATATGAATGTTTACAAGGGAGTCAAGCTTGGTATGTATAGCATTGATTCCAGCTTATCATTCATTAAGTATCTGTCACCAAAAAGTGAACTACAGATAAAAATTAAATAATACCTATTGATGTTTATGGGAGGAAATAATGGAGTCGTCTTCATGATAGAAATTTGTGAGTAGAGGTATGGTGGTGGGTCATGTAGAGACAATCATTTGAAGGTGGGGAAAGTGAAAGATAAGTAAAGTTCAGATATTTCTGCAGTCCTCTGAGATGGAAGAGATACTCTAGGAAGAGGAACAGGATAAATCCAAGGCCCTACCTAGCCTTTCAACACGTGGGCCTGCTTTCTAGATTAAAGCTTATAGCATTCAAATCTTGAAACATGGCTGTCACTACTTTGGAAAACTAAATTGTGCTTTAACTTAATATTAACTAAAACCCCTTAAAAACCAGTGTGTCTTCACTGTTCAAATCCATGACAATACAGGATGATTTTAGTGTGTGTGCATAGTGTGACTATGCAATGTGATCCTCGTGTGGATAAAAGTGTAGTGTGTGATCCTGTTGTAAGTGTAACTGTGTATTTTGAATGATCCTAGTGTGGGCATGACTATTCAGTGTGATCTTGGTGTAGTTGTGACTATACAGTATGAACCTGGTATGGGTGTCACTGTACAATGACATATTAGTGTAAGTTTTATTGTGAAGTATGATTGTAGTGTGGGAGTAACTCCAGAAGGGTCAGTGCCAAACTCTTTTTACAAGGCTTCAATAATGTTGGTACACAAGCCACATAAAGACACAACTAAGAAAGAAAACTACAGACCAATATTCTTCATGAACATTGATGCAAAAATACTCAATAAAATACTGGCAAACCAAATCCAAGAACACATCAGAGAAATCATCCATCCCGATCAAGTAGGCTTCATCCCAGGGATGCAAGGATGGTTCAACATACGAAAATCCATCAATGTCATTTACCATAGAAACAAACTGAGAAAGAAAAACCACATGATCATCTCACTAGATGCTGAGAAAGCCTTTGACAAAATCCAACACCCCTTCATGATAAAGGTCTTGGAGAGATCAGGGGTAACAGGAACATACCTAAACATAATAAAAGCAATATACAGCAAGCCAACAGCCAACATCAAACTAAAGTTAGGAACAAGACAAGGCTGTTCACTCTCTCCATACCTCTTCAATATTGTCCTTGAAGTTCTAGCTAGAGCAATAAGACAACAAAAGGAGATCAAGGGGATACAGATTGGAAAGGAAGAAGTCAAACTTTCACTATTTGCAGATGATATGATAGTCTATATAAGTGACCCGGAAAAACTCTATCAGGGAACTCCTACAGTTGATAAACACCTTCAGCAAAATAGCAGGATACAAAATTAACTCAAAAAATCAGTAACCCTACTATATACAAATGATAAACGCAATGAGAAAGAAATCAGAGAAACATCACCCTTCACAATATCCACAAACAACTTAAAATACCTTGGGGGAAACATTAACCAAACAAGTGAAAGACCTGTATCCCAAGAACTTTGAGTCTTTAAAGAAAGAAATGGAAGGATACCAGAAAATGGAAGCATCTCACAGGTTTTTGGATAGGTAGGATCAACATAGTAAAAATGGCAATCTTGCCAAAAGCAATCTACAGATTCGATGCAATCCCCACCAAAATCCCAGCACAATTCTTCACAGACTTTGAAAGAACAATTCTCAACTTTATAAGGAAAAACAAAAGACCCAGGATATCCAAAACAACCCTGTACAATAAAGAACTTCGGAGGCATCACTATCCCTGACTTCAAGCTCTATTATAGAGCTATAGTTCTGAAAACAATTTGGTATTGGCACAAAATAGACAGGTAGACCAATGGCATTCAGTAGCTTTTTATCTTGAATAAGCATCATATTTGAAATTTTCACCTTACTGACTTGGTCTTACTTCTGCCTGGTGGTTTAGACAGTGTATCTTCCTTCGGTCAGCTGACGTTTAAAGCCAGACCTTTAGTGCCAGCTCCTGACTGATAGTACTTCTTCATTCTAACTGTTAAAGTTGGGTCAAGTTGGGGCAACTAAAGTCACCGTTTGATCACATGCCATAACTTTCCTAAACAGATACTAAACCTGCCTCACACAGTGTCCCCATATGTTCATAGAACACAAAAATAGCAATAGGTATTGGCTCTTATTTGTGAAGATGTTAGTGCTAATCAGGACAAAGGGGTTTCGATTATTTTGTCACAAACTATTTAAAATTGTGTTTTGTCTTTTCTGCTTTAAAGTGTAGATGATGGTAGTTTTGTAAAGTTTTAGTTGGAACGGCAGTGTGAAAAATGGCAGTATCTACAAATACTGAGCTAGCCCCTATATCTTTATGATCATGTGACACATGAACAAAAAATTACAGCCTAAGTTATAAGAGACACATAGCTGGGTATTTTTCTGCCCATGCTGTTCTCTTCCAAGCTCATTTTCATACTTTGTTGTATTGGCTGTTCTGTTGGCTAAGACACTGACTTTCATGGTTTGTCTGGCTCATGTTTAGGCTAGTTTATGGTCCTATAATATCTGGACATTTTTCTTGCCTGGGTTTTATGTCAGTCATTTTTCTGTACATTCTGAAAAGAAAATGATTATGACTTTGAGATATATGAGTGTTTTATATGGCTTTCATTTAAATGTGTTTTACGATAGTATTATTTATTAAGTTCCAGGTATTGGGCCAAATGTTTTATGTCCTGTTTGTTACTCATTTCCCAATCTTCCGCAGTCTGTATGAATTATTACCATCATCCTTTCCTAGATGTGGAAATTGAGGCTGAAGAGGTAAATTAGCCTGTTCAAGTTCACACGACACTTGGTGGAGCTGATATTTAGCTGAATTTCTCTGATTACTTGACTGGTTTTCCTCCTTACTGTATTAAGTGGTAGTTTATTCACCACTACAGAAGTTACTTTTAAAACACTACAGTGTTTTGGGCATATGCTGTAGGTATAAATGAAGTGATCAGGCGATAGGTTTGTACATAATAGATTTGATTCTACATGGTTTTCAGAAGGAAGCAAACTTTGGAATTTTCTAGCATTTGTTAATCTTGTCTACTATGGTATTCTTTCTCCTAGATATTCCGTAAAGCAAGAGCAGTGGCACCTTCCATTATCTTCTTTGATGAACTTGATGCTTTGGCAGTTGAAAGGGGCAGGTAAGAAATGTTAATATTAGCATGTTAAATAATAGAAGTTAATATTTTATGCAAATTTATCTATTACTATATTTTTCTAGAAGAAACTATTTTTGAATCTGTGCAATTAATTTCTCCTTTACCCAGTTATTTCATCTAATTACTTTGTGTAATTATTTCCTGTACATTTGGAAAAAATAATAAAATTGAAGCATTTGAGTTAATTTTATTTATCTATAATGATCCCTTAGTACTATATTAGAATTAATAGTATTGATATAAAAATATAATTACAAGTGAATACAATTTAATTAAATATTATTTAGTATAGTAAAATCAAATTATAAAAGTTGTTACTATATTACCCACACAATGATCTTATTTTCATGTTTGTAGCTTTGTGTTGATTAAAAAAAATGATTTCATCTTTAGACAATGTCAAAATTTAAAAGGCTTAAAAGAGAAAAAATATATTACTATATAGATTTTAGGATGCTTCTAGAATAACCTCTTAGAATAAAAAGGAATGTAAATTATCTAAATTGATTGGACCAAAATGCTTTAAATTTTAGAATTTTTTTCTTTAAGTTTTGGGATGTTTTCTTAGACCTTGGTGACAAGATGCTCAAAGGGTTTTAAGTAGTCATGGAGCATTTCAGATGTAGTTTTATTGTGATGCTATCAGTTTTTCAAATACCAGCATAGTAATTATCATGACAGTGAGCTATTTTTGAAGGTAGATTTAATACATCATTTCTGCTCTTTTTCTTTTGGTTCTGGGGACCAAACACAAGACTTTAGCCTTGCTGTTCATGTGCTTTACCCTTGAATTAAATCTCACAAATGTTTTCTGTAATGGACCAGTTAGTAAATTTTTTAAATTTCTGTCACAGCTAGTTATCTGAGGCTGTAGTGCAAGGCGTCCACAACAGATACATAATAGTGGAAAAGTGGTTGGCTAGCCACATCATCTGTGTATAGTCTGCCAGTTTTTGTTTTGTTTTGTGTTTTAATATAACCCTTTGATTATATTAAGTGCCTCTTGGCATTGTGTGTCTTTTGAGAATAAGTTGGACAAGGGTCTTGACTTATGAAAAGAAAGAGGAATTACTATAAGTGTGTCTAACTAGTATTTTCTGTTGCTGAATGTTTGAATGCTCTGCTGCCTTTCTCTAGCAGATAGTAAAATTTTATGACATTTCATTATTTCAGTGATTTAAATAATTGTATTTAAGCTTTTTCTTAATGTTGTCTTTGATTTCCTGGGATGTCAGTTTTATGGTTTTTGTTTCCTACTGATGTTTTGAAAGTCAGCCAAGTTTTCTTGGCCTATGAAATGTTTTCACCAGGTCGTTTTAAAATTATTAGTTATATGGAAATAAAAGGCAAAAATGATACAGGTAATCAGAATGGAAGCATTCCCTTCTTAATGTTTAACCACCATTTTTTTCTATATAAGTGACAAGAGATACCATGATAAGTTTCTAAATATATGAGCTTTAATTGAAAAAACTAAGTAATTTCCCATAGGTACTGTATAACAGCCCAGAGCCTCAAAAATTTTGAATCTGAAAGGACATTTAGTTTAAATCAACTCCTTAGATTATAATTGTTAAATCCTCAAGAGCCATAGTGTTTTAGCCTCTGGCTAAAACAAGAGCAGGTACTCAGAACAGTGCACACAGACATAGAATTGAATAATCAAAATATTGACTAATAAAAATGAGGGGCTAGAGGGTCAGAGGAGCTGATTTGTTTCAGTCTAGAACTTAGGAGCAAGCTCCCGAGTACAGCTTCTGCTTGTAAGTTTTCCATTCATTGGTAAATAGATTTTGTGTTGTATTTAAACAGACTGTCTTGTGAAATTTTATCATCAGCATTTCTGCTTATGATTTTTCCTCTTTCTTTCTTTCTTTCTTTCTTTCTTTCTTTCTTTCTTCTTTTTCTTCTTCCTCTTCCTCTTCCTCTTCCTCTTCCTCCTCCTTCTCCTTTCTTCTTTCTTCTTTTTTTTGTATAGATTCTTAGAAATTTTGCAATAGTTCACCCTGACAGAGGGCTCCAAAAAACAAAAAAAGCACACCTTTAATCCCAGAACTGGGGATATAGAAGCAGGTGGATCTTAGTAAGTTCCAGGCTAGCCTGCTCTACAGAGCTAGTTCCAGAACAGCTAGGGCTGTTACACAGAGAAACCCTGTCTTGACCCCCCCCCAAAAAAAAAGACTACTAAGCAAAGCTGAAAAACAAAACAAGAAGAGTGAAAAATCCCATGGGGTTTTTTTTTTTTTTTTTTTTTTTTTTTTTTTTTTTTTTTTGAGAAAAACTAAACTGAGAAGTGGGCCTTAACTGAAAACCTTTGTTGCTGGTGCTAAGAAGTGATTGGTGCTCTTTGCATGTCGCTACTAGCAACAGTAAAGAAAGGACAAAGGTTTACAAGGAAATGAGTTCTGTGCTCTTTTTAAAAACTTATTTATATTATTTTTACATTGTGTGTGTGTGTGTGCACAAGTTACAAGCAGTTCTGAGCCACCTGACGTGCACTGGGACCCGAACCCAGGTCTTCTGTAAGAGAATACACACTCTTAAATTCTGAGCCTCTCTTCAACCAGAGTACCAAGCTTCTTGGGCTGATGAGAAAACATTTCAAAAAAGATGGCTTCCAATCATGAACAGTACTAATTCATTTTGTAGGAAAGGCATTGTGTTACTTTCTACCCAAGGGTCATTCTTTTACGCTTAAAAATATTTTTGCTATAGAGAAACCTTATAGATTCCTTTTTTGTTTTTAAGTAGATAAGTGCCTAAGTTACTTGGTCCAAATGTTATGTATTAAACCAATCTAAAAGCTTATAGGTTATGATCCTGAATTTTCACATGCAAATGCTGGGTAGAATTTTCCTAAAAATCTAAGTTCCTTTTGAAAACACATTACCCCCCAATTGTTGGTTGTTTTTTTAAATGAAGAGAACTGTTGATTCAGATCCAAGAAGCTAAAGGATTCGGGATTTTTTTTTTTTTTTTTTTTTTTTTTTTTTTTTTTTTTTTTTTTTTTTTTTTTTTGAAAATTTTTCTTTCT